CCCTGGTGTCCTGGCTTTCAGAACTGACTTCATCCTTTATTTAAAGGAAAACATGCCTTGTCTTTTATTTTCTTTCCTTCTCGGCTTCTGACATTATGATCTTAAACACTCAGTTTCCATAAATTCGAAAGTGTTGTGAGAGACTTATGGCTTGATTCTACATGGAATGTGCCATCCTTTTTGAAGTCCTTCATCATTTGGTTTACTACTTAACCACTGAAATGTTATGAAGTCTTAACTAGGCTATTATCAGAGCCTGCTCACTATCAGGAAAACTCTTTTGTCACTGGCTTCCGTCACACCTTGTATCTGATTAACACACGTAGAGGCTACATAGATCTGCCTTGTGTGTTGTAACAATACTGATGGAAAACAGACTTTCTTTTGCCCTTTAATGTGGCAGCCCCCTAATTGAGACTGTGATATGGTTTATTTAATATAATTTTTCATACTAAATTACAGCAGGTCTAGAGTAATTTAATTGCTCATTAAAGTTAAGGTGGTAGCTGCTAAAAAGATGCTTTTTATATCTTAGAAAATATTTCTCCCAATGATATACATATATATATACACATACACACATACACATAATAAAGTTGTTGACCTTTACAAACATACTGTCTCTCAAGAGAATTGTCCCAAGTGTTGACCTTTAGTCTTGAATACAGAGTAAAAGATATAATAAAATTTATTTAAGCAAGAAATCATAATTTTTTCTTTTATTCTACAGTTAAGCCCAACTGTTGCCAATTACAAAAACTGAAGTAACAGGTATAAGAAATAGGCATACACACATTTATGCGTATGTAATTTCATGTGTGTATGTAGTTAAGTTCTAACAAGTTAGAAAATATCCTAAATTTCTACCTTTTGAAAATGCAATACAGAAATGAACTACAAAAGAGGGCTAAACAAACTTATCTCATTAAATCCAGTTAGACCATACAGAATTAAGAAATAAATATCAAACTTATGCTAAGAAATGAAAATTTATGAAGACTGCAAAGCAAGCAAGCAGCAGCTCAACCTGCTCTGGAAAGAGATGATTTTAGAAGTTTCTGTCAACAACTCATTTGAAAATCACTCTTCTGTGCCTATACCCAGCCTGCATGCCAATTAAAAGCTACTACTATCTATCCCTTATGCCCAATCCTTACCCACATTCTACTTTGGAAAGCCTGAGTTCTAGTGCTAACCCCAATGCTAACCCTATAAAACCTTCTCTGTAACTTCTTTTCAAGATGCTGTGAGATACTTTTTTAAACTGCTCTCCCTGGATTGCTCTTTGCTTTTTTGAGAACGGATCTTGTTCTGTTGCCTGGGGTACAGTGCAGTGGTGTAATCACAGCATACTGTGACCTCAAACTCCTGGGCTCAAGTAGTCTTCTTGCCTTAGCCTTACAAGTAGCTGGGACTATTGACTTTACTACCAGGTACATTTTAAAATTTTTTTTTATTTTTTGTAGAGATAGGTTCTCACTATTATTACCCAGGCTAGTCTTAAACTCTTAACCTCAAAATTTCCTCCTGCCTTGGCCTCTCAAAATGCTAGGATTACAGGCGTGAGCCACTGTAATCTTTGACATAGGCTGTCTGACATAGGCTTTCTTGGTAATCTTTGCAGAGATCACAACAATTAATATGAAGAGGCTACATTTAAACCTTGATTGGTTTGCTTTATTTCATAATAATAAACCAGCCTTATTAAGTACAGTTTTGTCTACACTAGAATGAAGACAGCATCTTGTTCTCCAAGTTTAAAATACAAGAGCTTGGTATTAATTCCAGATTGTTTGACTATACAGTCTGTCCATAATCATAGAATGATTAAAGAAGAGCTACCATTCAAAACCTCAGTGACACAAACCTGTGTTAGTGCCTACTCACTAACTGGGCTGTCACTGGCTAGAAAGACAACAGACATCAGTCTTTTACCAGAGGACCTCGTTATATCCCTTCTCCTGTAAACACCCTGTAGATACAGTGTGCCATTAGTACAAAGCATCTACTGATAGGGCCACGTCGCAGATTGCTCCTGCAAGACCAGTTCACATGTTTAGATAACAGTATCTTGGTGTTCTCCAGAGTCTAGATTATAAACTTTCATATTCAAGAGATTTTGTGTTGTGGAGTTTTGTATTCCCAGTGCCTATCTTGGTGTTTGGCACATAGTATGTACTTAGTATACATGTATTAAGTATTTGATAACTCAGAAATATCAGGGGAGAGTTTTGTTTAACAATCTGGGAGTAATTTTTGAGGTTCTCAAATATTTCACACCAAGTTAAGGATATACTAAAGGATAAAAATCTAAATTTTTTTTTTTTTGTTATAGTTATTGTTTGGCAGGTCCCGTGCTGGTTTGAACCCACCAGACCTGATGTATGTGGCTGGTGCCCTAGCCGCTGAACCAAAAAAATCTAAATGAGTTTTAGAAGCTCTCTAGATTAGATGTATAGGCTATGTTCCATTCATGATTCCCAAGGCATGGAAAGAAAAGGCAATGGTCAACTAACTTATAATTTCCTTAGAAGATCAAGATTCTAGGCTCTCTTTCCTTGCCCCCCATTCATCCCTGCACCTACACCTTTCACTACCTCCCCAAACTACAAGGAAGCTAGTCACACAGGGAACAACTTACTGATAACGTCACAGAGACTGCATCATGTAAAACAAGTCACGTGATCCTCCTTGGCAGAAAGAGTATACCCACCACTCATCTGTTTCAATTCATCAGTTGAGGGTCCTGACTACGTAAATAAATCATTACTAGTATAATAAATCCATAATTTGGGGGACAAATCTTTTATGTCAGAAGGGATATTTCCTCAAGGCTTTCAAGGCATCTAGTTTTTGTAAGTATTACTCCACATTATTTGTCTTAAGTGGTAGTTTGTTTTTTTAAAATTAAATTGCTTTGAGTGACAAAAATGCCCACTTCCTCTAGTTTTTGGATCTTTTTCTGATAGAATATAATCATGCTGAGAATATTAGGAAATCAGTATCTAGAGGTATAAAAAGCCTTAAGAGATCATCCACTACTATCCTAGGGAGGTTTCTAATAAACTATATTATTAATGCTAACTGACAGAAACCTTCCATTCTCCCTTGATAGTCTTGAGTGAGCACCATGTAAATTTAGCAATAAAGGCAGAAGCCAGAATTAATACAATTGAAATGAGGATTAGGGAAATGAGGAAATGAAGAAAGTAAAATATAAACAACTTTTAAAAAATGGCAGTTCCATAAAGGAGGGGAGAGCTAGGGAAATATCTAGAAAAGAGATAAAGGGTAGAGATGACTCTAGCTTAAGATGAGAGTTTAGAAATAATTTGAAATGAAAATATTTTTATAATAAATGTATTCATATTTTTAACAAAATATTTTCATACTAAGGCTCAGCTAGCCTTCTGGAACCATCATTAAATTACATTCTAATGGCATCCAATCTTTTTCTTGTTTGTCAAACATTGGAAGAATAAGAGTTTGGGCCCATATAGTAAATACACAAATACTAACAAAACTGATGAGCAAAAGAAAAGGTCCATGTATATTTTTTTGTGATATACAATAGCACAGATAAGCATAACAATCCTCAAATAATCTCCATGAGGCCTGTGGGCTACAGGTTGGACACCTTTCCTCAAAAGAAGGTAGATAATAAAAAGTATGTTAAAGGTAATGCATATAAAAGACTGACAACTCTCTTCCCTCCACATTGCTTACAGTAAAATAACCACACATGGAATTTTAATAAGTTTCTTGTTTATCCTATACATATGACATACAACAATGACATGGTGATCTATTAGAAAATAGTATATGAACTATGAAATTATTCTCTAGGTATATTAAATATTTTATATTCATAAGCTCTGTGCCCAGAGGCCTACACGTATGAAATATCTTGGTAGAGGAAAGATTTAATATGAACAGTCTCTTTATTTTGACTTGGAGACCAAAGCTAAAAATGTCAATGTACCCAGTTAGTTCTAAACCAGGAATGAGAGATTCAGTCAAATCCAAAAAGCAGAGGACAGCAATTTCTAAAACAAATGTGGGAAAATGACAAACAAGTTCCTAATGGTGACTGTCCAGTTTCAAATGATATCACTAGCTGAAGTGCCAACTTAGTGGATTTCCAATGAAGTTATTAGTTGATTTTTCAAATTGTTATTCTGATCTGTTTAAAACCTTAAATTAAACTTTTGAAATTACTGAATTAGCTATATTCAATAAAATATTTAAAAAGTGAGCCAAGGGTGGTGCCTGTGGCTCAGTGGGTAGGGTGCCTGCCCCATATACCAA